GCACAGAAATTTAGCTTTGGCTGCTCAAAGCTTTCTGTATATCTGATAGCTGATCCTGCTTGTCAGATACCTCAGCTACTGCTCTCAAGGTACAGTTTCAAAAGCAAGCAAACAAAACCTTATCCCAAGATCACAGAATCACTGAATTGTTTGGGTTTGGGGGGGCATCTCAAAATCTTCTAGTCCAGACCCTTGCTCAAGCAGGATCAACTAGAGCAGGTTGTCCAGGATCCTCTCCTTGTACCTGGATTGCTGTGTCCAGCTCTGGGGCCCACAACACGAGAAGGACACAAACCTACTGGAGTGGAATCCAGAGGAGGCCACAAAGATGTTCCAAGCTCTGGAGCACCTCTGCTCTGGAGACAGGCTGAGACAGTTAAGGGTGTTCAGCCTTGACAAGAAAAGGCTCTGCAGAGAAGTTGGATCACCTTGCACTAGAAGTTACCCACAAGTTCAGCAAGAGATCTAGAGAGGGATTTTGGACAAGGCCATGGAGTGACAGGACAAGAGGGGGTGGTTTCACACTGACACAGGGCAGGGTTAGAACAGATGTTAGGGAGCATTCTGTAGTGACAGGATGGGGAGGCCCTGGCATAGGATGCCCAGAGAAGCTGTGGCTGCCGCTGGATCCCTGGAAATGTCCAAGGCCAGGCTGGATGGGACTTGGAGCAACCTGAGATAGTGGAAGGTGTCCCTGTACCGGGAAGGGGATGGTATGAAATTAAATATAAGTCCCATCAAACACAACCAATTCTGTGATTCTGCGGTTCTATGGCATGGAAAAAGACACTGAGCCTTTTCCATCGAGGAGATGAGATTTGTTAACAGGCGCAATCCCTGTAGAACAGAGAAACCTTTCCCCTTCTGTAGAGCTTGGACAATTTGGCCTCCAGCTGCATCAGATTGAGGGGGTGGGCAGAGTTTCCCTCAGTAATGAAAGCCCAAGTCTTCATGGTGGTGTTGGTCTGACAGCAGCCAGCTATCCAGAGGTGGCTGGGTACATTAACCCTCCCATCAGGAGTGGAGCTGTTTCCAGGCACAGCACCCTTGATGATGTAGGTGGTTGTACAGTCCTGGTTTTCCTGGGCCATCATTTGGTTCTCGTAGAAAGCCCTAACATCATTTCTGTGTGTGYGCTTCACGGGCACTATGTTGGTCAGGGTGAAGGTAGCTGACTTGCTGTCGTCAGTATTTTGATGGTCACTGGGGCACAACTGGACAGGGACCAAATCAGTCAGGTTGGTGTAGTCTTCATTGATAGCCTGGTTCTGGCCAATTAGCTTTGGACCAATGGTGTAATCATGTTCAAGGAAGTCCTCTGTTYTCATGTTGTTGGGAAGAGTGATCAGCTTGACAGGGAAAGAAGAGGAAAAGGTGTCAGTACTGAGGATGCGTGTATTGAAGCAGATTACTCCAGAGCAGAAATCTCTGGGTGTCAAGATCCCATTTTTTGTCATCTCAGTGCATGAAAATGTATGAACCTAAGAGAAATCATAGATGTGCCCCCCCACCCCCCCACATGAACACAAGAGCTTTAAAGAGAAAGCAGCTCAGAATCTGACTGCTCTCATTTTGACTTGTCACCTTTGGGATCCAGACTGCAGCCTGTGCTGGGACAGTGGCTGGGTGCATGAGAAAAGAAGCAATTCTAGGTTTGAAAGGTGACTTGGCTGAGACATCTTCCCTGCCACATTTGCTTCCTTTTCCTCCTGTCTCCACTGTCTGAATCTACCCAGGGCTCTCCCTGAATCCCTTCAACCCCATGCTGTGATTCTGCCATTCTGAGATTCTGTGATTTTATGTGTGGTTGTTACAGGTGTATCCCAKTCCTGGAACRCCTGAGGTTGCCTCCTCTAACCCCATCCACAGGGAGGTGTGTCAGGAAATSAGTCCTGGAGCTKAAGTTTCCTTTCCCTGGGAGGGCTACAGCTTGTTCAAGGATGAATATTTAGCTCAGTAAGCAAAAAAAGAAAATCTCTATGTCAATGAAATCCACTACTGCAGTGCTAAGAATGTGTCTCAGAGCTGATCTGGGCCAGGGAGCATTTTGCTCAGTAGCATAGCATCACTAAAAAGAAGTAAGATATTATCAGCTCTGAGAGGAGCCTGTAATCCCAAAAGAGTCCTCAGAAAGGTAAATATTCCAAAAAGGACTCTGAAGAAAGTTACCAAAATCAAGGATTGTTCCGGTGGTCTGGGTCCATTTTCCAGGAGGAAAAGGCCGGGTTGGATGGKGCTTGGAGCATCATGGTCTAGTGGCAGGTGGCCTGGCCCATGCAGGGGAGTTGGATTGAGATGATCTTTAAGGTTCCTCCCAACATAAACCATTATGATTCTATGATCCAAGGAAAAGAGAGTTTTAATCCCTCCCTTATGTGGAGGCTGCAGTGGTGCAAGAGCAGATGCTTTGCTYGAGTTCCAACGTGCAATAAGCTGAAATGATTATTTTTTTTCATAACTTCAACATCTTTTGCTTCATCTTYACGGAGCCATATTTAGCCTTCCTCTGGAACAGAGCATATGGCTTCCTTCTCTAGCTCACCTTCCCCCAAATTCCTTCCTGTTACTCTGTCCTTAGCAGGGACAGCAATTTCCTCTTTTTCTCTTCTGCACTTGGCCTGGCCTGTTTTACTGAAGTTTATCTCAMTGATATTTGGGAGAGCTCCGTACTTTGTGCAGATCTGGATGTCTGCTGGATCCTTCTGGATCAAGCATGAGCCAAAGGTGCTCAGGGGCCACTGCCCGTGCATGGAGATCACACCCTTCTGACTGGAGTGACACTGATGCTCCTCACTTTGCACTGCCTGAAATGTCACTCCAGAAATCCCCCCAGTGCTAACCTGACCATCTCATCTCCAGTGCCTGTGCCTGCTGAGGCTTTGTCCCTGTGCCATCCCACCCCATTCTGAGTTTCTCCTCATGTCACTCACACCAGTCACAAAGCTTCTTTGACTCTTCACAGGGAGCAGATAAGCTCTGTCAGCGATGGAGAACAGCTCAGAGCAAAGTGRGGATCAGAGCCCAGCAGGATTGGATGCCCATTCCCCACTGCTTGCCTTCCCACCACAGCAGGGCACAGGGAGGGGGATTGTTGACTTTGTAATGTCATGTGAAGTCATTTGATTTGATATTTCTGTCAGGTCAAGGCAGTAAACTGGGCACCTTTGGGATATAACGGATCTCACCCTCCTCCTGATGTCTCAGATGCATCAGAGGAATCAAGTGATGCAGGTGTTTGAAGTTAAATGAAAACAATCTCATCCAGTGTTTGCATTTGCATGTTTGTAGGGGGGTGGGAGGAAATAGAAGTGGTTATTTAAATGCTGCTGCTAATCTTTGAGTGGCTGGAGGGTGATGTGCTGTAAGAGGGGTACTCACCTGGGGCTCAACAAACCATGATTCATTTGAAGGCAGAGGTCCAGGCTGGTAGATGTAAGCAGAGTACACAGGAATTCTCATGGATTTGTCGTACAGGGTGGCAAAGTGGTACTGGTTGTTGTAGCGTTGACAGATCCAGGCTGCRTTCTGTGGAGTCAAGGCTTCATTTGGCGTGGTCTCCTCATAGAAAAACTGGGGACACWTCTCAAAGGATGTCACCACCTCACTGTGTCCCAGCCAGAGGCAGCTCGCYGACACCTGCAGTAGCAGCAGCCACAGCATCGTGGGAGGATTTCAGGTGAATGGCTCTTGTACCCTGGAAGACAAAAGCAGAGGGATACAGAGCTTGGAGAGAGCTGGACATGGCCTTCTACATTTTTTGTGGCAGGGAAGACACAGCTGGCAGAGGAGGGGACTGTGAGAGATCAGGAAAGGAGTAACTTCCCTCCTCCTGGATATGGAAAAATGACAAGGACACTAAGGGGGAATGATAACCCAGGGTTAAGGTTCCCAGAGGAGGCAGCAGTGGGGGAAGTCAGCCTGTACGAGGAAGGATCCAAATCTACTCCATTCCTAATAAATTGTCACAGCAAAGTTWTCTTGGAACTGAGGAACAGCCTTGGGACGACGTCACATTTTCCCACCTCCTTCCTGTTCTGAGCACCTTCCCACAGCAGGCACCTGCAGCTGGGCACAGATCCTGCTCAGCCCCTGCAAWGCTGAACTGGGTTTTCATCTCATGGGGCACTGGCCAGGGAAATAACAGCGATGCTGCACTTCCTGTGTGTCTCTGACCCCAACCACATTCACCCGGACACGCAGCGCTTCCACTCAGACCAACACTGAATCCCAAATGGTCACTTGGGGCCCTGCCTCTCAGCTGACACGGGGCAATGGATGTCCTGCTGCTCACCCTGCATTTCCACATCACCCAACCCCAGACTCTGAACTTGTACAGACATGGAGAGAGAAAATGAAGAGGCCAAGCAGATGGTAGCAGCAGGCACGGGGGATCACAGCTCCATCTTCTCAGCCCAATGGCTGCTGCCATGCAAGCACTGAGGGGCAGCTCCTCCAATGGTTGCATGGCATTCCTGCTGATCCCCATCTTCAGCTTTGCTGATTCTTTATCCTGTACAGTCAAAGGCACTGTTGCAGGAATTTCTATTTATTGGACAGCAATGTGTCCTATCTTGCGTTTCTCAATGCTGACATGATTTTCAGCAGTTGGCATTCTGCATTCCTTTTACAGAAAACTGCAGATAAGTTCCCTGTGATGCTGGCAGCCAAGCAAGGGGCTTTGTCTCCTTTCAGAGGCACCACAGGCTTTGGGATACCAGTGATGCTTCCATTTGCATTGCTGAACACTCGATGGAGTGACTTAACATCATGAGCATTTGGAATATTGGAGGCAGGGCAGGGAGATAAAAGGATTCTTGAGACAGAACCTGCCACAGCCTCTAAAGCACAAAGCCCACCTTTGGCTGGGAAGGGTCTGAGCTGAGGACTGCTGAAGTCTTCCAAGTCACCTGGCACATTTGCTCTTTTCTTATTCTTCTCCCTGACACTCACCTCTGCATTTCCATTGGATTCAGGATGTTGAGTTACACACAGCCCTGCTCTGACCCAGCATATCTTGTCCTTTTTCTCTTTACCAGCCCTGGATCAGGAACGTGGTGACCAGTGAGCTGGAAACTGAGAACTGGAAACACAACTGGTGACTTTTTACTGCTGTCTGCGGAGTATAGCCATTTCTACCCCAAATCAAGAAAGGAAAAGGTCTTTTGCATGACCCTGTCCASAAGATTAAAATATATTTAACCAGTTTTAATATCTAACTTAATATTAGATAGGGAGAAACCAACCTACCGTGAGAAAAGCGGCWCAGGATTCTGTTCGCAGCCCCGAAGTGGCAGAGAACTCTCAAATGCCTCTGTTGCAGTCTGATWCTGGGTGCTTTTATATCATCTCCAACMAGGAAGAGGTGYAAGATTTCCCAAACARGGATTAGTGTGRCTTTTTCTAGGTGTTCAAGGGAGTAGTTGTATTTTTCCAGAGGACTCTAGCAATGATTTGGGTGGGGTTTTGACATTGTCTGTGGGATATTTCTTTTTTTGATATCTCTCCCTTCTTATTCAATTATTTGATGTCAAATATCCAGTTAACTTGGTTTGAGTTTCTTTGTCGAGAAAGCAATTGAGGAAGTRCATGGAAATTTATTATCTGTTTTGATTGCAGTACTGTAGAAAGGGAATTTTGAAGTGACTAAGCTGTTTCTTTGCTCTGCTGGAATTCCTAAGTGTTTCAGAAGCTTGGTATGGAGAGCAGGGCATTTCTGGGTACTGCCARGGGTAAAGGTCCTCAGGACAATCCAGGAGCTGAATTAGGAGGTGGAACTCATGGGGGCACTCAAGCAGCCCATGGTTCCTCAGTCAGGGGCCTGGGATGAGCAGTGGTGAGGATGAGTGTGGTCTCAATGCCCAGCAGGTTTGAATTGATGGGTGACTGAGGCAGAGGGAGCACCCTGAGGCACAGCAGAGGTGTCAGCAGAGGTGCCTCTGCCTGAAATCACAATGATGCTTTCAGCACTTCAGGGAGCTGTGTCACCATTTGATCCCAGGACTAAAAATCCATCCGGGCAGAGGACCTGGGATTACAGGCGCTGTCCAGCACAGGGGTGAGAGTGATGTCCCTCCTTTGTTACCCTAAAAAGCCAAATTTGCAAGGTGTGTGTGCAGCCTGGCTGGCACCAGGGAGTGCTCTTGCTGCTGTGCCCATGGCAGCTGCAGACAAAGGAGCAGAATGCCCCGGTGCTGGTGGGCACTGCCCCGTGTCTGCGCTGGGATCGGTGTCCCTGTGCTCAGGTGTGCAGAGCCCCTGCAGTGCCCCTGGGGAATGRGCCTGGCCTCTGGCTGCTGGCCCAGGTKGGGGTGGCTGTTGCCCAGGATCCTGCAGCACATCAGCCAGCCCCACTGGGGCTCTCCATACCTCAGGGCAGCTGCAGTGGCCCAGGGTGCATCTCTTTATGCAGCTGAGGCAGGCCTGGAGCTCTGCTGGCTGCTGTCAGAGCTGGGACACCAGCGAACCTGGAGACCCCTGCATGGGGCTGCCTCACTCTGCACCTCCACCCCACAACACTTAATTAACTTTGGAGCTTGTTGCTCCACACACTGATGATGAGAAAGATGAGTTTTCAGAAGAGCACTTGAGAACCATGACAGGTGCACAGCAGAGMTGTGACCAGAGTGACATCCAGCCTTCAGTACCTGTGGGTACTGAAGTTTGGTGGGACACTYGACCTGCTGGAGGGTAGGAAGGCTCTGCAGGAGGATCTGGACAGGCTGGATCAATGGGCCCAGGCCACCTCTGCAGCCGGCCCAGGGAAAGACAACAAAGCTGGTGAAGACCATGGAGGGTAAAGCCTGTGAGGAGCGGCTGAGGCAGCTGGGGTTCTTTAGCCCAGAGAAAAGGAGACTCTGAGCGATTATTTCCCTCTACAACTCCCCGAGAAAGGGGATGTAGCCAGGAGGGGTTTGGCAATTTCTCCAAAGCACCCAGTGAGAAGATGACAGGACAAGGCCTCAACCTGCACCAGGGGAGGTTCTGAGGAACATCAGGAGGAATTTCTTCACAAAAGGGGTGAAATGATTCAACACTGGAATGGACTGCCTGTGAAGGTGGCACAGTCTCCATCTCTGGAGGTACTGAAGGCTGGATGTGACACTCAGTGACACAGTCCAGTTGACCAGCTGGCCATCAGCCAAAGGTGGGATCTCAGAGTCCTTTTCCAGCAGAAATGTTTCTGTGCTTCTCCCAGCAGCCCAGCTTGGAACTGAGCAGAGGGCTGCCCCAGCCCCACAAGCACCTGCCAGGCACCTTCCACCAGTGATTGCCTCTGTTTCCTGCTGAGCCTGCTGGCCATGGGCAGTCGGGATCCAGCCCTTTGCTGAGCCCAGAGCTGCTCCATGCCCACGCTGGGGTGGGAAGCACCTCTGTCCCCTGGGGAGATGCAGCTGCACTGACACGGGACTGTAACTTTGAGTTTGCTCTGTGTCTGTCCATCTTTGAGGAGAGTTTCGGGGCACCAGTGTGTCACTGGCAGTTTAGACACTAAGGAAAAGTGATTTTTGCTGGCATCTGTGAGGAGATGCTGGGAGCTAAACTCACTTCACTGCAAATTGGGTTAGACCATGCACCTTGCTCAGTCTTTTTCCAATAAMACCAAGGATTCAGAGTCCATCAAATAAACACATTGTCATGTGCTGTTCTGGAACACAAGGAAACAACAAAATCAAGGCATTGGCATTATTTGGCCTCCACTGGGCAAAACTGCTTTGGTCAATCCAGGCGTAACTTTGGCTGCCCACTAGGAAGACAGCCAGGGAACTGATTTCTGGGGCTTTGCCATYCCCTGGGCAAAGGAGATGCCATCTTTGACTGTTGGTTTGGACATATGGGAGCTACTGGATCTCTTTCGTGTAGGCAGCAAATGTACCGAGTGTGGTTCTGCACGGAACACATTGTGTTTGTGGCACTCCCTGGACCATCTCTAGCTGTTTGTCCAGGTAAAATGCCCATCTCTTCACCTCAGCCTGCAGGGAAAGGCTTTTTCCTGGGAAATGATGATCAAAGACATGAGGGTCCTTCTTGAGTCTCACAGGAGGTCCTGCTGGAAGTTTCCTGTCTTCAGCTAAATGGCAATCTAGAAAAAAGGAAAATTCCTACTTTCATTAATCTAAGCACTTTATCTTGCTGGGAGCTATTAGAAGTGAGGAAAGTTAAGTTCATCTAAACCCAAATGTCTATTTCTTATTTCTATATCCAAAGTCAGACTGACATTAAGTTAATATTAGATGTCTGCTTAACCAGCTTACCTCTGGATACAAAGCCCACACTTTCCTGTTATGAAAGTTTTAGAAGATTAAACCTGCTTAAATTTCTGAGGAACTACTTATGTATTGTGTTCCTGGATGGGATCCCACGAAGTTATACTCCATGAACAAGCAAACTTATTCAAACTTATTATACAACAGCAGAGTTTCCTTATTTTTCTTGTATTTACTGTTGCTCTTGGTTATCATCTSGGTTAYGCTCCAATGGGATTTACAAACTCAGCTTTCACACAGTGACTGTGCAAATATTGGAAAAACAAAACAACCAAACCCCAAACATATGAAGTCTTTTTGCACTTCCAAATGTATCCTTTCCATGGATGGCATACATTTTCCAAATGTATGCCATCCATGTGGATGGCATTTCATTTGAGAGTGGCTCAGTAAAATTGTAGAGATGATTGTTTATA